GGAGATAAAAGCCACAGCCCAGGAGCTGTGGGAGGTGGATGAGGGTATGTTGTGCCCCAGGCCTAGCAGATTTTTTGTCTTCTCTCTCCAGACCGTCCCCTTCTACATATTTTCTGAATCTTATGGAGGTAAAATGGCTGCTGGCATCGCTTTAGCGTTGCACGAGGTAAGTAGCTGGAGGATGTAGTTCACTTTTCAGTTAAAAATATGGTGTTCTACAAGTACTGAAAGAGAACTAACTTCTAGTATCGTGAATATCTAAGTAAAAGCCGCTTTTTGTTTATTTTCTCTGATTCGCCAAGGCCGTTCAAAAGGGGAGCATAAAGTGCAATTTTGCTGGGGTTGCTCTTGGAGACTCATGGATTTCTCCTCTAGGTATGTTCAAAATCCCCAGGCTGTTTTGTTTTTGTTTTGTTTAATCGCTTCATGTGTATCTCAGTGCCAGTCATGAATTAAATCTCTAGTGAGTCCAATAAATCACCAGAAAGAAATACTTAAACATTGCAAGCTGTGACAAAAAATACCTGCATTTAGAACACATCCAGATTGCAAAAGCTCTGAGAGCAAAGTCAGCAAGGACCATGCTTATGTTTGAAGTGGGGTGGTGGCGAAATGTTCCTGCAAATCTCTATGGCCTCTGAAGTGTTTGATATGAGAGCACTTCTCTCAAAATGTGGCCACCAACTGTTGCAAGTGAAGTGTTTGTTTTCACAGGAAGGCCTTGTGCTGGGAACTGATGCGCTCCCCGGCCGGAGGAGATAGGGTGTGTGATGGGTGAAGGGCACCAAAACAAAGGATTCTCGGTGCTCCAGTGAGATTTGCAAGGGCAGCCCGTGCAGACACTCTGGGACAGGGGACAGTGTCAGGCTGACTCCTGCTTGTCTTAGAAGGATCAGCTGATCCTCGAGGCTTTATGAGTTATCTTTAAAAATTGTTTTTTTAACTTTATATACTGTTTTATAACTATTTCTAACTGATTGATGCACAGGGAGTTAATGACATCATGGCTGTTTTATTGGTTCTCAGGGTTTGAAAAAAACTTGCTCATTGCGTAGTTCATCTTCATAAACTTTTGTCACAGTCGTTCTTGCTACAGTAAAAGGAAAGGAAAACCGTTCTGCAGAAATTTAGGTGTTTGAAATTTGTTGTGTTTCTCTAGATTCTGTGCTGTCTTGGGGACCCTACCTTTATAGCACTGTAAGTACCTTCTTAAGCTCTCCTATTTGCATTCATTGCTGTGGTTCTCTAGTCTTCACCTTAGAACTTCTACTGCCAAGGAGTATAAAAGGACGTTGATTTTTAAGATCGCCTCCTAGCCAGAATACAAACTTTCATACGTGGAGATTGTTAGTGGGAAGTTAACATCGCTCTTGCATTACTGTTGAAACTGTCCTCCTCTGTGTTTGCCTTCCAGTCTCTCCTTGATGATCAAGGTCTGGCAGAGGTGACTGCTGTTGCCAAAGAAGTAATGGATGCAATAAACAAAAATCAATATGGACTGGCCACTGAGCTCTGGAGCAAGGCCGAAGGTGTCATTGAAGAGGTGAGATCGTCCTCAGTCAATGTTAGTAGGTAATTAGTGCTTGTAGAGGTACACAACTTCAGCTTACGCTTTGCTCTGAGCACTGGATGGGCTTGTGTCCCCTGTCTCCCTGCCTGCTCATCTTGGCCAGGCTGTGGTTTATGCCAAAGAGCTGTTTGTTTAGTGCACACCTCTGCCTGAGTAAAAGCTTCAACTTAAAGGAGGCATCTCTTCCTGAAAGTTGTATGTTCTGAGTGTTGAAATTGCAACCAGCAGGACATACATTTCAGGTAACATAGATCTCCCTAGTGTAATAGAAGCATAGAGCAGAAGGAAGCTCAAGTAATGTCCTGCTATTGTACATATCTTTTTACCAAGTCCCAGCTTAAGATTCAGTATACCTTTACTCTTGTTGTTCCTATCGGAGGGTTGCTACAAAATCTCGCTCTTTCCCTGTTGTAGTACAAGCAAGACTCTGCTTCCCTAGAGCTATAAAACTGTTCTCACATCTTCTTCCTTTTTCTCATTCCCAACTTCCTTTTTGCTTTTATTTTTGCTTTGCATGTACTTGGTTTCACTTTTTACTGTTGACCTTTGGAAGCAACTCGTGGTTCCTGTTTTGCCTTCTCTTCAAGTCTGTTCATCTGCCTTTCCCTGCTGCAATACAGCCATAAGGGTGCAGGCACTTGAGTTCCTCCAGCTGTTGCAAGTTGATTTCTGACCTCTGCATCGGAACATTAAAGATCCAGAAAGCTGCAGAGCTCCTCTAATGGCAAAACCGATGGCGGTCGTTCCTTGGGGTGCAGGCAGTCTGCTGTCCACGCCAGAGCTGCCAGCCCCAGAGTCCTGGACCTGTGCAGATGTCCCAGTTCCAACAGAGGGATGCCTGTTACCAGTCACTGCTCTTGAGGAAGTGTTTGGGTTGTTGTAGGTTGGGAGGATGTTGAGCAACAAGCTTTATCAGGCCAGATCTAGCACAACAGAGTATCTCAGAGCATCACCTGGCACCACGCACTCCCTGTAATGAGTAGTGAGAATCTACAGCCATTTGCAGGGTGTAGAACTTCCTGTAGCTTCATACCTGTTTCACAGAAGCAAGAGTCACCTGTGACACTGCCACCATGTGAAGAGTGAAGGCTGAGAAATTCCTTGCGCACTTCACAAAGCAAATATAGAACTAAGATTTTTCCATAAATATCTTCCTGAGATGTGGGCAGAGGCAGGTCGCAGGATCCTTACTCTTTTCATAAAGGAATCTGTTCCTCTGATCTGAGAAAGACTTTTAGTACAGTGCTACTGAACATATCTTCTGCTTTCAGAACACAGACAATGTGAACTTTTATAACATCATGACTAAGGATGTTCCAGAAATGAAAGCAAATGAACAAGAAAATCTCCATCTCAGTAAGTTGTATTTAAGTACTTGAGTTAGAAAGCCCTGTGTTTGCACCTTGCACCTTCAGCTCTGATACAGCCTCAGTTTAGCACATCCTTAAAATGGGGCCTTCAAATCTAAAGGATGTCGATACTCTCTTGAACAGAATTTGCTTGTGTTTGCATAAGCAGGGGTAAGTAGGAATGTGGAACAACCCTTCTGTAGATTATGCCTCCACCTCTACATCCTGTATGCAGTACTCTGGGGAAGTAATTAATGTAATTGGTTCATAGTTTTTTGACTTCTAAGTTGCTTCCTTTTAATGTCTTTCATTTCTGTCTTCAAGTTAGGACACACGAATGTCTCAACCATGAAAGGAGTCTCATTAGACTCTCTTGCTTTGTGATATTTATGTATCAACATGAAAATAAACAAAATATACTGTTTTTTTAAATTCTTGTTCTGTTTCTCTTGGCTTCAACAGAGAAGGTGAATGGCAGAGTTTACTCCCCAAAACAAAAAACACTGCAGCTAAAAATTAGTCTGCTGAGAAGAAGAAATTATCTGTGCCAAGCAGCTATAGCGGAAGTTGATTTCCTGAAAAACACATTATTAGCCAAAGCTAGAAATGGATAGTTGGTCCCTTCCCATATTATCTTCTAACCTGAATAAGGGCTGACACCACTAGTTTCCACGGTTTACATTATAAAATAAGCAAATCTTCCTCTGTGGCATTGCATTGCCATTAGAAAGAGTTTGCTGGATGTGACTAAAACTGGAAGTTACCTAGGCTTGATGATTATATTAAATGTGCCACTAATCAAATAATTTTCTTTCTTTTCAGTTAGACTTTATCAACGTCATGTCAAAAATACACACAAGAACAGCCTAAACGATTTGATGAATGGACCTATCAGAAAGAAGCTAAAAGTTATTCCAGACTGTGTGAAATGGGGAGGTACTTTCCTAAGTGCTGTATGCTTTTGTGGTGTTGTGATCTGTAGGAAGATACTTTGGTGTCTGTAGTAAGCAGTCACATTAAATTGTCATTATGGCCCCAGGAGGAAGATGTGTTCTCAGAAATGAACATTTAACAGAGCAGGCCTGTAGGAGCAGACACAGTTCTGCTTCTCGCTGTAGTGTTTGTATCTCTTTTTAGCCCAGCAGCTAAAAAAGGGGAAGATGATGTTCCCCTGTGTTTCTGCAGCTGATTTTCTGCCTGTTGCTGAACTTCATTGAAAGAATTTGTGTCCGTTCTCTGCTGGAAATTTGGTATCATATAGTGCTGTGGTGTGTGGAGAAGGGTTAAGGGACTGGTGGAAGCAGCTCTGTGTATAATGGGAGCCAGAAGTGACAGTGAGATGTGTGAGTTGCACTGGGAGCATCGCTGGTTTCTGGCTCTCTAGTTCCTCACTCAGACCAATAAATTGGTGGCTGTTGCTCTGTGCTAGGGCTTGCTTTTATGGAGCTATAAACCAGGACCTTTAGCTGGTTGCTTGTGTCCTGCCTTAGGTATGACATTCTTTACCAGTTAATCTTTTTTTTTTTTTTGGCTCCTTTCTGGCTAGGACAGTCCAAACAAGTCTTCATGAACATGGCCGAGGACTTCATGAGACCCGTCATTGATATTGTTGATCAGCTTTTGGCGGCTAACGTCAACGTTACAGTCTATAATGGGCAGCTGGATCTCATTGTGGACACCATGGGTAAGGGGCTTTTGACTCAGGTTGAGAGCAGAACATGCAGTCTCCAGTAACACTTATACCAGGATCTCTTGTGCAAATCTGCTGTCCAACCACCAATGCTTAAATACTTGTGTCATTACTGAATAGCTCTTAATGTGTTATCTTTATATCCCTCTGAGAGAGACAGTTTCTTTACCTCCATTGTAGAGCTGGGGAATGGATCTGCAACATCAGTAATTGCTTTGTTTCAGTGAAGCCCATAAGCAATTAGGTAACTAATAATTCCCCTAATTCTTCAGGACAGATAAATGTGTGTGTACACTCATTCATAAATGAAGAGAGAGAGAGAGATAAATGTGGAGATTGCCTTCTCTTCTCCTGCTCTGTCTTGAAATCCCTGTTCTCGGGAGCAAAGACCATGTTCTGCTATAGATTTGTGCAGAATACAGCTCGGCCTTCCCCGAGTGGCCCAAGCAGAAGCCAAGGCACCCAGGAGAGCAGCAGGAGCTGGTAATTAGCTGGGCAGGGTGCACTTCAAGAGCAACCACGCCTGCTGCTCCGAGATTGCGCAGGGGCCTGCGGAACTGGGCCACTCTTGGGCTTTGTTTGTTCCTTGCTGCTTGAAAGGTGCAGACTTGATCAAATGGCACCTGAGGGCACCGCCGAGTACAGCTGGAACACCTTGTGCTGTGACACTGCTGTGCTCCTCTCCATTTGCCTTTTCTTATTATTTAATAACCTTCAGTTGCAGGCAGCACAAACATCTTTATATTGGGAAAGGCCTTATCCTTTGGATCTCTTCCCCCACTTATATATTCAAATGCCCTTCACAAACAACATAGCAATCAATTATTTAGGAAACAGTGTATTTAAGCTGTCAAAACAGATTAGCAGCTAGTGGTGCTCCAATTTATCATATTTTGCACTAAAACTGAGCTGCAGTTAATATGTAAATTGCTCTAATAGCTCAGAGCTAAAGATAACCTGTTTTTTTTCTCTTAGTGTCCTGGAATTGGTATTTTTTTCTGTCTTGACTGCCACTGTCTCTGGTAGGCACCTGAAAAGAGAACCTTTCCAGGCCCTTTGTGCTGAGTGACCGAACAAACAAAGCAACAGTGGCCCGTGTAGCACATGGGTCTAATACAACCAAGATACAACCGACTTGGGACTCCCAAGTTGCTACTCAATATAAGTATCAAACATAATTCTGTTAACTTAGGCCAGGAAGCCTGGATCCGGAAACTGAAGTGGCCTAATCTGGAGAAGTTCAGCCAGCAAAGGTGGAAGCCTCTCTACGTGTCTCCAGAGTCCACCGAGACAGCAGCTTTCCACAAGGCCTATGAGAACTTTGCTTTCTTCTGGATTCTTAAGGCTGGGCACATGGTAAGTAGTAAGTTTCTTGGGGTAAAACTGTTACTGTTATCAGTAAGAAAGGTAGCTTAAGAAAACTGAAAATACATGTATTAGTTCTTCCTGTGTGCTTCTTCACAGCAGCTGTTTACCACGTGCTCTCATTTCTGTGCTAGGTACCATCTGATCAAGGAGAGATGGCGCTGAAAATGGTCAGGATGGTGACCCAACAGAAGCACTAGGGAAGGGGAGTGCAGCTCGATTGGCTTCTTGCTGAATGTCACTGATTCTGCAAAATGAGTGTCCAGAATGAATCAGGAGGAACAGTTGCTATTTGGACATGTATCCTCCCTGGTCTTGCTGATAGCGCGTGTGAGCATTTATGGAAAGGCCTATTTCCTCTTGAATGATTTGTTGATTTGTTGCTTTTGAATTTGAGAGCTGTGGTTTGCTACCTTAGTATTTCTCATAATGACTCTTCCGGTGGAGTCTCCACTGTCATAAACAACTTGCTCTGAGAGCCTTTGCCCTTGTTTGGAAGGACTTTTGTATTTTTGAAAAATGCTGCCCTTGCCTGGGTGCTCTCTTGTCTAAAGCCTCTTGACTAGAGCTGATCAGCTTCCTGATAGAGTTGCTGTTTTTCCTGTTGGAGAGCAAGTCGGTTTCGTTAGGCCACAGGACATTCCTTCCTTCGTTCTCAGGCCTCTGCTTGAGTCATCTGGCTGGATCAGAAGCTGAAGACATGGAGCTGCCAGGATAGATGACCTGCCCTAGAGGATTTACAGTCAATCCTATCTCACTGAGGTGCCTGAGTTAGGATGCAAGTATTTCAGGTTTTCTGGGCTATGAAGAGAGATGAACACTCCCTGGAGGAGGGTTTGACCTTTTTTATTTTGACCAACTATTTCTTCTTTTTGTTCTTCTTTAATGTCCAACAAACAAAAATTTGCCTTTAACCTTAACACCTAACAGCATATCCAGCAGGAACTCCTGCCTTCCCCTCTGCTGAAGCAGAAGCCCTGTAACACCCTCTTCTTGAGCAGAAGAGAGTCCTAGTGGATAAAAGCCTTTCACAAGTTTCTGAACTTATGAGTGGAAAGAAGAGTATTACTTAAGCAATAATAGCACCATTCTCCACGACAGTAGCCATATTTAAAAAGATATATAAGCTAAAACCAGTATCCTTATCCATATTTTTCCAGGCATGTTAATCCTGTGGAGATGTATAACTTTACAGCAATTTCTTTTTTAGTTGCATAGTGTCAAGAGAAGACTGAGTCAGGTATCGTTTGACCTCTGCTGTGGAGCACAAAATGACTGGTCTTTATCTGTGTCTGTAGGAGGCTCAACAGCTTGTTCCAGTTGTCACAATCATAAATAAGTAGCAAACCTTCCAATTTTTCCACCAACTGAAACTGTCACAAAGTGTTTAATAGCGTTGGCTTAGTAAGGACTGAGTCACAGTGTAAACACATGCAATCACTCATCAGCTGGAGTATCAGTACCTAATAATTGCCTTCCCTTTTCTCTGCTTGAACTGTACTCACGTGAACTTTGGCAATGCAAATCCAGATTTTTTTTTTAAAGACAAAATTTTAAATAAATGCAATAGGTCTTGTTTAATTCCTCTGTCTTGGACATCATGTTGATTTTACCACCCAAAAATCTCTTCTCTTCTGCCTTGGCTTTGCAGTGCAGAGCCCCTGCCAATGGGAACAGATACAGCCACACTTAGGAGAGGGGAATGGTCCAGGATGGCGCTCTGCTGCGTGCCTGTGTGGCATGAGGAGCAACGCTGCGCTGAGGATGGAGCCTGTCTCGTTGTGCTCGCAGAATATGCTCCTCCACAGGACGAGGGGCACCCCGGAATGGCCGGGCTGCATCAAAGCAGCACCTCTGTGTTCTTTCTGGTTGAATATTCGATGAACAAGAAGGAGAAAGGCTCTAAAAGTAGCGAAACATGAATTCATGGGAGAATTTGAAAATAAATCAACAAAGAGTTGGCCTGTGGGGACAGTGTCCATTTAAACGCAGATACCAAATAAGCAGCAGTTCTTTAAGGACAATTCCTTCCTTTCATTTCACCAAGGCTGTCTAGCTGGTGCTGCACGGCTCTAGATCAGCCCAAAGGTAGGTCACCTTTGTGTCTGGCAGGTGCTGAGGAAATATGTTGCTTCGAAAGGAGTTTGAGTCCTGCTGTGTAGCTCATTAGCAGTGACGTACTTTGTCCGTTTTGATTTCACGCAGCATGCTGTTTGCAGATAAGGGCTGTCACTTAGCAAATCTGTTGGACTAAATCATGCTAAATATTAATAAGATTTTTTTACAGATGTCAGGAAAGCCAAAAATAAAACAGTCTGATAATTGTCTCTCTACAGCTGCAGGCTTTGATTACCTAGGTAGCCTGGGAGCCACTGGCTTATTTTGCTCACCATCAGTTGAGGATAATTTCCTAGAAACAAATCTAACTTCACTAAAAATCAATAATTCAGCACTGCCTGCATAAACAGTTTTGACTCTGTGTAGTTCTCTGCACAAATTTTCAAACCTGGGAAAGAAACCTAAAAGTCCCATAATAGGTGTCCTGTCTGTCTTTTTAGCCCTTGCTTTGCTGGATCTTGGGGGGTTCGATGGGAAAGGGTCGCTTGATGCAAACCCGTCCCCTTCCACAGCCCCTGGTGCGCAGGGGACGTCGGTCCCCTGGTTTGGCTGTGGCAGCGGTGCCCATGTGATACAGCTTGAAGGACTGCGGGGGACAGGGGACACAGGAGGCAGGAGACGTGGCATGTTTGCCACCACAGGGGTGTCACGGGCACCGTTCCTACAGCTAATGCCCCTTGTTGGGCAGGGGAAGTTTTTACTCTGGGCACAGTGAATCACATGGGATGTTTCCAAAGGCAGCTCGGCACATAATGCTCATTGATTTCATGCCCGTGAAGTTCGGAGCTTAGTAGTAAGCAGATAGATGTATGTTGTGCAGTTTTTATTTTATTTTATTTTTTGAAGATTAAAGTTCTGAATGGGAAAGAATTAGAATAATTTGAGTAGCACATAGTTCATGCTTGCAAAGTTTCCATGGTATTTTAAAACTGGTATTTTATTGTATGATAGATTTGATAGTTAATGAGCAGTCTTAGCTCCTCTGGAGGACCGAATGTACTTTCTGGCCACTCCATGTTGGTCTTTTGTTTATTCTGTGGCTACAAAGGCTGTAGGAGGGTCAGGGTCTCCTGAGGCTAAAAGCAGCCGGATACCCCATGTCTCCCTATGGCTTTGCTGCTCAGTACCTCCAGCTTCCTCCTTGCACAGACTTGAACCCAAAGTGCCCCCTCAGCCTGGCTGGGCCTTGCAGATATAAAACTTGCTCATTCCAAACAGTCTCTTGGATGTGATTTAGGCAAAGGCAAGTGCAGGTTCACAGAGGAACACACAGAGTGTGTGTATCGCAGGGAGGCAATAGCGCTAGTATTGCTGACATGTTCCGGTGAAACATGCACATCCAGGAGCTCATTTATCTCCGCTCCCCTCATTTTGTTGTCATTTTCCATATCAAAATTCACAGGAAGACACCATGATGGCAATGTAGGTTTTAAAGTGCCATAAATCATAAGCATATTCATAACCAATATCAAGCATAAGAGACAGCTGGAATAATTCCCTGTGCAAGTTGCAGACAATAGATTGGATAATTCAACAATCGTTTTCTGAGGCAATTATAAAGACTGTTACGAGCAGCCTGACTGAGCTGCTTTTCTAAGAGCTTCTCTGCTCCTAAAATGTCATTTTCTGGATTGTTTCTGTGTAAGCGAGCCAGCTGCAGAGTCACTGAAACAGTCAAACTGTGCTCATTGCCATTAGCCCTAAAGCTAATTTGGCCCATCAATGGTTGTAGCAGTAACGACGTTGCACCTACACTCTCTTGCATAAATACTTTTGTGCTGTCCTTTATCTCCTGTTAATCAGCAGACTTGGACTCAGTTCATGCAGTCTGTTTTGAGACACAACAAGTAATCACTGTTTGGCTCTAGCATCACTATCATGTTCTGATTTTGTTGTTATGTCTCAGATCTCAATGCTAAATCCAGCAGGAAGTGGGAGTTGCTTTCCATGTGGTCAAATGTACTACAGTCACAGATGGAACTTACCTACTTAGTTGTTCAATCTACTTTGGAAAGGGTGAAATAAGTGAAACTTTAGAGACTGGTCTTGTTCAAAGCATCTTAGAGCAAGGCACAACTTGAACAGTTCACACAGTGTGTGAGTGCTATGGGTGCGTTACCTTAGGCAAAATACGCTGGCTGGTGTGCTCTGTAGTAGGTGACTTTCAACATATCAGCCTTGTGTTTTAATAAATCTTGTAACTGTGCAGACAAAAGCTTACAGAGTTCAGCCTAACACGGTGGTGGTTCAGATCGAGAGTCAGGGCTGAGCTCTGCTCATATTCTTTGCTTGTGAGAGCTAGAACAAATAGTTGTGTGTCTTTTGGGGGAATTTGAGAGAAAAAGAAAAGCTAATTGCAGCAAGAACTCTAGGCCTCACAACTGGATGTTTTCCTTTAGTCACTCCTAGCAGGCTTAATGACTTCAGGAGGTTGCCGATGCCATCGCACGTTCTAGCTGAAGCAGATAGACGTCTCCATGGGTTGGTGCAATTAGAGAGGAGCTGCTGGCTGCTGCCCTCTCTAGCGAAGGCAGCACGGAGCCTGGGGGGATAGAGCAAAGGCAGGTTTGGGCCCAGGGGCAGGGAGAAGCCTGGCTTTGTCCCGCGCTGCTCCTTCACCTCTGTTTTGCAGATGAATGTGGTACCAAGCGCAGTGGCCTCCCCTGCTCCCCCATGGCAGCTGTCCAGCGCCTGGGGACAGGAGTGCAGTGAAGTGGGTGACCGCTTGGTGGAGTAAGGAGACCTCCAAATACCACGGGAGCAGGTTGGCAACAGCTCCTACCTGCCCCTGCTGTCCTGGAAATGCCTGGGCAGCGCTTGGAAAGGAAGCTTGGCTCTGTACGTTTACAGGGGAAATGGTTGATATGAACCAGAACTGAAGATTTTTTTTTCAGTAACTTCATGGGAACAGAGACTTGGTCCCCCAGCATAATGAGGCCTCACAGTTGCAAAACACAGCTAAATTAGCTCGTCGTTTTAATCAGACCATATAATTCCCATTGCCATGTGTATTTGGACACACTCTTTTTTTTTCAAATGACATGTCCTCTACCTGTGCTTATCTTTTTCACTGGTGTCTCTGAAAGTCTCACATGTGTTTTAGGAAGAGCCACGCGAGGCCTTGCTGTGTTTGCTGTGGTGAGGGCAGCGAGCTGCCCAGCCGAGCCCCAGCAGCCTTCCATCCTGCGACACTCACGCATGTGCTTCAATTCCTAACCTGGGAAGAGCGCTGCTGGTATCAAACTGTGTAAAGCTCGGTCAGTACAGGGCTGGGTCCTTGGGATAAGAAAATAGCCAGAGAAGACTCCTGCTTGCTGAAACATTTCCCCCAAATTTGCTGTTTTTTTTTTTTAAGTAAACTTAACTTA